GGAGTCACAGACTGAAACAGGCTCCAGGCTCTGAGCTGGCAGTCAGCACAGAGCCCGACGCGGGGCTCGAACCCACGAACCGCGAGATCATGACCCAAGTGAAAGTCGGACGCTTAACCGACTAAGCCACCCAGGCGCCCCACAGGTCTTTTATTTAATAGGGCATCTGTGTTCAAGCGGCCGATGATGGTATTTCATTGAGTGGTCTTGTATCCAACTGTCATGGAAAATGAAAAACTGCCCCTCTCAGAAAGCAGGGGACTGTGCCCTGAAAGACCGTGGAAACAGGGAAGATTCCAGACTCGGTTGGACTGACTGAGAGGGTCCACTGTGGCCCCCAGTGAAAGTTGAAACGCAGACGTCAGAAGCTGTGTGGAAAGGAAGGCGTGGGGAGAGTGGGGCACAAGGTGGGGCTCACGCAGTCTCCCTCAAGGAAAGAACGTTGCTGCAGGCACGGACGTTCCTGGTGCTCAGCAAACATCACCTGAATGAGGAGGTGACAATAGTCAGGGTCCCAGTCCTTGCGTGCATGGGTGCCACATGCTTGCTCACATGCTGTCACTGCATGTGAACATACTCCTCAGTCACCTGGAGTCATATTCAGTCATACTCGGTAGAACATACTCTTCAGTCAACTGGAGTTCAGTGTGACCTCCCATAAAGGAACCCAACTCAACCTCATCATCACCTAACTCAGCTAGACCTCATCACCACCTGCCCAACTAGACCTCATCACCTCCTAACCCGACTCAACCTCATCATCACCTAACTCAGATAGACCTCATCACCGCCTGCCCAACTAGACCTCATCACCACCTGCCCAACTAGACCTCATCACCACCTGCCCAACTAGACCTCATCACCTCCTAACCCGACTCAACCTCATCATCACCTAACTCAGCTAGACCTCATCACCACCTACCCGACTAGACCTCATCACCTCCTAACCCAACTAGACCTCATCACCACGTAAGCCAATGAGTCCTCATCATAACCCAACAAACTACACTTTATCATAATCTAACCACCTTGATGTCATCATCACCTAAACCACCACAGTGCAGCAAACGGCACTGGAATGGAATGGTTTTTGTTTCATTGCAACACTGCCCAGTTTCACAAGGAATTAAGAAGATGAAAAAGTCAAGTGCACTGGAGAAGCCACAAGGGGCAGAGACAATGAGTGCTGGATGCCAGCCTCTGTCTTTTCTCGGACCACAGGGTCCCTCCCTGTCCTGTTCCACCACCGTTCTTCTGACACTGGCCCAGGTCCAGCAGGCCCTCAGAGGGGACGTATGGCTCCTTATGTTCAAGACCCGACGTCACTGTGATCAAGTCATCCCATTTGGTTGCAGACACGCCAGGCACGGCACGGTCTCAGAGAGAGCCACGTCTCTCTGCTCACATGCCCTGTTCCCCCATGTGCTCAGGTCCTGGGAGACACAAACACATCGTGCGGCTGCTAAAATTGAAGAACGGCTCCAGAAATGCACACTCAGATGGGCCCTCTCTCTCTGCAAGACCGCCCCCCCCCCATCTGCAAACAACTCCTCTCCACCTGCGGGGGAAGATGCTGACGTTGGTGAAGACGGTCCACGCAACGACCTGTCAAAAACCATTCGACGTTTCTGCATCTATTCAGACAACGGGACTTGGCCACATCCCTGAAGGAGAAACAACACTCCGACGAGGAAAAAGAATGGTGAGGTAGACCGAGAAGGAATCAACCCCCCCCACCCCCGGGCTTGAGAAATGACCCGACTCTCATGAGAGGAAGACGCCTGCGTGGGTCCATGAGGGAGGAGTCAGTGTAAGAAACCGTATCTTTTCAAAAAGCGAAATGTGGGAAGGGCCACAATATATAAAAATTTTAAACTGTGGAGTCACATTGTGCCAAAGCGAAAGGAAGATTCACATTAAGAAGCATGAGTCTAGGGGTGCCTGGGTGGCTTAGTCGGTTAAGCGTCCGACTTTCGCTTAGGTCATGATCTCGCGGTTCGTGGGTTCGAGCCCCGCGTCGGGCTCTGTGCTGACTGCCAGCTCAGAGCCTGGAGCCTGTTTCAGTCTGTGACTCCCTCTCTCTCTGACCCTCCCCTGCTCACGCTGTCTCTCTCTCTCTCCTAGAAATAAATAAAAAACATTAAGAAAAAAAAAAAGAAAAAGAAGCATGAGTCTATTTGGAAGGAATTGCTCAGTAACACCCACGTGAGCCACGAATCGCCGAGGAAAACAGGCCATGCTGGCTGGACCTGGGGGTTCCCCAGGCGGGTCAAGAGCCCTTCCCTACACATCCTCCATGGAACCCAGGGCTATGAGTTTCACCATCAGCAATCACCATCAACATGGTGGCCCACCCCTAAGGAATGTGGACAAGACAAGAAGTTTGGGCAGGGTGTGAGACCCGGCCGCTGCCGGAAACCAGAATCCTTTCCTAACAGGGTTCACGTGGTGAAGTTGTCTCAAAATAAAGTTTCCTATCTTCACAGGTTCCAGTTGTAGGTGATACTAAACCCCCCAGTAGGTAACGTTATTTGTCATATAAACACTTGACGTACGCCATTGTGTGGTGAGCTTGTGTTCTTATAAACTTTTATATCTATATCTCAATATCATTTGCTTTGTAATATTAATGGATTTTTGTTTGCGCATTTAGGTAGAACTGGATGCCAGCAGGGTCCAAGGACTGGGAAAAGGCAAACCTCACTGTGTATGCAGCTTGTCAAGAACCAGGAAGGGATAAAACACATTCATGTTTAAATACCCAGCTCTTGGGGCGCCTGGGTGGCTTAGTCGGTCAAGCGTCCGACTTTCGCTCAGGTCACGATCTCGCGGTTCATGGGTTCGAGCCCCGCGTCGGGCTCTGTGCTGACTGCCAGCTCAGAGCCTGGAGCCTGTTTCGGTCTGTGACTCCCTCCCTCTCTGACCCTCCCCTGCTCACGCTGTCTCTCTCTCTCTCCTAGAAGTAAACAAAAAACATTTTAAATAAATAAATAAATAAATAAATACCCAGCTCTTAGGGGTACCTGGGGGGGCTCAGTCAGTTGAGCATCTGACTTTGGCTCAGATCATGATCCCAGGGTTTGTGGGTTCGAGACCCGCGTCGGGCTCTGTGCTGACAGCTCAGAGCCTGGAGCCTGTTTCAGATTCTGTGTCTCCCTCTCTCTCTGCCTCTCCGTCACTTGCTCTCTCTCTCTGTCTCAAAAACTAATAAACATGAAAAAAAAGGTTTAATAAATAAGTAAAATAAAATCCAACGGACTGGGGTTCCAATGAGGATGCGCTTAGGTGTTTTCTGCAAGGAGCGTTGTACCTCCTACTAAACCACTGTTTGCGTACAGATATACGCGAGCCACTGGGTCTCTCACGTTAGCCAAAAACGCAATCGTCACCTATGATCACGTGCATGCGGAGCCTGGCCAGCTGCCTCGACGTAGCGTAGCCGATGCCGTCCGTGCCTCCGGTCACTATAGCAACGCGGTCCGGTTGTGGGGGAAAAACTGCAGAAGAAACAGACAGAAAATGAAAAAAAAAGTCAACGTGAGGTTTCAAACCAGGGCGCATGTTCATGAGAATTCTGCCGCGGGAGAACGCGCGTGGGCGAGGGGCCTCGTGGTCGGATACCCGTGGTTTGGTTGGTCGTGGGTTCCCCGCAGGTTCGGAACACGGGATGTCACGGGGGGATCAGTCCTGGGTAATTACATACAGCCTGGTGGGAGACACCTGACAATGTCTGCCAATACCAGGCAGATGTATTTGTGTCTGAAGTGTAGGTTTTACTATTGCTCAAGGACGGAGAAGGGCAGCAGATTAGGGGTGACTGCCGTTGAAAAAGAAGTCTGCTGGGGAGCCTGGGTGGCTCAGTCGGCTGAATGTCCGACTTCGACTCAGGTCGTGATCTCGCGGTTCGTGGGTTCGAGCCCTGCGTCGGGCTCTGTGCTGACAGCTCAGACTCTGGAGCTGCTTCTGATTCTGTGTCTCCCTCTCTTTCTGACCCTCCCTGGCGCATGCTCTGTCTCTCTCTCTCTCTCTCTCAAAAATAAACATCAAAAACTAATTTTTTTAAAAGAAAGAAAAAGAAGTCTGCTCTTCACAGTGCCCACGAGGAGGGGGCGGGCCACACCGCGGGGCTGCATGGGAAGCAGCAGGGGGGTCAGGACGCCGACAGACAAGGAAACGTGGATGAGAGCCTTGAATGTGCAAAGAAACGGGTGAGATAATCAGGCTAATAAGCAGGTTTAGGTTGGGGTCGTGTGAGTAATTTCACCACCTTCCGGGTGACAGGGACTGTCCTATTGCGTGTCCCTGGCCCTGCGGGTTAGGGGTGGGTCGCGGGGATGGTGGCCCAGAGTGTGGTCTCGGACGCAGTGGGGTGAGGGCTGTGGACTGTTTTGCATTTGAAAAGCGTGTTCATTCCCTAGGAACTGGCCAGGGCTGACAACTTCAGCGGGTGATGAAGGTGACCGAGATGAATGTTCTCATAAATGGTGTCAGGTCACCTAAATAGACATTGGGAGGGAACAGTGTCAGGTTACCTAAATAGACATTGGAGGGGAAAAAAGGCAAAATTAGACCCCTATCTCATAAAGTACATCAAAGTTAACCAAGGAGAAGTCACACAATGAAGATATTGGGGAAAAAGATGAATATATTTATCTTTAATCGCAGAGCACAAACCGCCGTCCTAATTAGAAACCAAAATTGAGAAGAACAAGTAGAAAAGTTTCACTACTGGGAAAAAAAATACAGCAAAAGCAAAGTTAGGGGAAAAAAATAATAAACTGGAAAAAAATTGCAACTCCTATCACATGCAAAGGGGTATTTTCCTAATATGTAGAGTTTTTAAAAATCAAGGGAAAAAGGCAAACACTTTTCCTATAGTATATATAGAAACCTACATATAGATTTTTCTATAAAGAAAAAAGGGCAAAGATTGCTGTGTGTGTGAAAACGTACGGCCTGGTCTTTATAACGGCGCTTGGGTTTTTACCCAGTAAGAGAAATGTGTGTGAAAAGTCACTGAGACACCATCCAACCAGCAAAAGTGCAAGCACTCTGATGTCACACTTGTGTGGCATTGTGGGTAGAAATGCAAAACGGGACAATCCCCGTGTGGGTGGGGCCACTGGGTAATAGGTTTTGCAACATGAAAGGCATCCATCGTCCGATCCCACAAAATCACTTCTAGGAATCTAGCCTGGAAGTGCAGCGCACGCTGCGGAGGCAGAGCCACAGGTCCTCGCCACGGCCTGCGTCCCTGTGCGTGGGGGCGGACAGGCTGCCACGCGGCCACCCCGTGGCCCCCGCCCCCAGTCTTCCCGATCACGCAGAGAACAAGCAGTGCACAGCCCTGCGAGCGTGGCCCACGTGCCGGTGAGAACTTGCTCCTGCGACGAAAGGGGCCAGGTTTGATCCCTGCATTGGAAGATGCTTCTAAGAATACACTTTCCTTCAACGGGCACGCATGCCACGATCGGGCATTCGTGTCCATAAAGTGAGGCAACAGGCCTACAAAGGAAGCCCGAACGGGGCAACTGGGAAGCACCGGTATCTTCTCCGCCCTACGAATGCTCAAACGTTTGGAAACACCGTCTCCATCAGAAAGAGTGTCTGTGGCCGGGACAACTTCACCCAACAACCTCAGTGCATGCGAGTTGCTCAGGCTACACAGCAAGTCTGCAGACACCCAGGCTCGGCTCAACCACCAGGGACCCCTCCCTTCCAGTGGGTTTGGCTCCCGCGAAGACACATGACGTTTATAACGAGGTTCTCGTGGGCTAGTGACGGGAGGGGGTCCAGTTCCACGTTCCTCTTACAGGTGACAGACGTGACCCAAGGTCCAACAGAGGGGAAGCGGGGTCCAAACGCGGGGACACTCACAGCCTGGTATTTACCCGGACAGGACACCTGGCGGCGCTCAGGGTCACCAGCAAAAGGCAGACAGTAACGTCCTAACCTTTCATCCCAAAGCGAGATTGACGGGAAGCCCCCGCGTCGGGCTCTGTGCCAACAGCTCAGAGCCTAGAGCTGCTTCGGATTCTGTGTCTCCCTCTCTCTCTCTGTTTCTTCTTCAAAAATAAACATTTAGAAAAATTATTGAAGCTAAAATACAAAGGGAATTTTTTTTTTAATTTTTTTTTAATGTTTTATTTATTTCTAGGAGAGAGAGAGAGACAGCATGAGCAGGAGAGGGTCAGAGAGAGAGGAAGACACAGACTCTGAAACAGGCTCCAGGCTCTGAGCTGGCAGTCAGCACAGAGCCCGACGCGGGGCTTGAACCCACGAACCGCGAGATCATGACCTAAGCGAAAGTCGGACGCTTAACCGACTAAGCCACCCAGGCGCCCCAAGGGAATATTTTTTAAGTGGGGAAAAAAAACCCAACAGAACGCCCAAGGGTCATGGCCAATATCAAATGTTGTAGTAGGCACGTGGCCGGAATCCCGAAGTAGGAGAGAATGGGTATTTTAAGAAACGGTGAATGATTTGGAGCCTGTTTGGGATTCTCTGTGCGCCTCTCTCTATGCACGTCCCCTGCTCGCTCTCTCTCAAATAAATAAACTAAAACACACACACACACACACACACACACACACACACACAGTGACTGAGAATTCAGCAGAGGTAGAGAGGACCCAAAAATACCAAGCTTGACTTAATTTCCTTCCTTGTGGCTTTGTGCGTTTCCGGAATGGAGGGGAACATGAATTCCTTTTGTTCTGAAATCCATCATTTCCTGAGTGAGGACAGCCTTACGTAGGTTTTTTTTTTTTTTTTTAATGTTTATTTATTTTTGAAGGAGAGAAAGGCAGAGGGTGAGCAGGGGAGGGTCAGAGACAGAGGGAGACACAGAATCTGAAACAGGCTCCAGGCTCCGAGCTGTCAGCACAGAGCCCGACGCGGGGCTCGAACCCACGAACTGTGAGATCATGACCCGAGCTGAAGTCGGACGCTTAACCTACTGAGCCCGCCAGGTGCCCCTAAAATTTTTTCTTTAATTGTCATTTATTTTTGAGTGTGTGAGCAGGGGAGGGGCAGAAAGAGAGAGAGACACAGAATCCAAAGGAGGCTCCAGGCTCCGAGCTGTCAGCACAGAGCCCAACGCAGGGCTCGAACCCACGAACCATGAGATCATGACCTGAGCCGAAATCGGATGCTTAACCTACTGAGCCCCCCAGGCGCCCCCTCCCTATGTTGCAAGTCATGTTTAAAAGTCTCCTTCTGTTACTACCTCTGCCCTTAGCACATAGCACGTGCCCTGTGGAAAAATAACACCTTCTATTTTCCCAATGTCAAACTTGAAGCACCCGGATTCCTGAGCAGTAAATGAGCTAAATGAACAGAAACGATTTCAAACGAGAAGAACTTCAGGTTCAAGGTGCCCACGTACAATTTACACACGTTGCTTATGAGATGCATGTGAATAATGCACGCGTGTTAGGGAGGGAATAAATCGAATGCTAAAACTCAGTCCGAGAAACAGACTGTCATCAGAACAGGCAGGGAAGCAGTGCCCTGTCATGGAAGCTTCCACACAAGGCAACAGAGAAAAGGTCCATTTCAGGAAAAAAGGAAGGTGAAGGGAAAAGCCAGGGGCAGACACGTGTGTGTAGGTGGGAAACGCAGTGGTGATAGTGTTCTCCCTGGACTTTCCCACGCACACAACGGGCTGGACAAGCCGTCGAGGAAGGGAGGAGGCGCGCCCCGTGGGACGTGGCAGCAGGAAGTGTGCACAGAAAGACACCACGCTTGCGGTCGACGGACGGGGTTCTCAGTCCCGCCCGTGCCGAGGAGGAGCCCCAGCGCCCTGGTGTCTGACACACACGCCCAACCCAGCCCTTCCCGGAGAGCTGACGCCCTCGGCCCCGAGATGGTCCGGGACTCAGGCTGTGAAACCCCCACGCCCCGGCCTCACAGCCGCCGGTCGTCCGGCCGAGCCCAGAATCACGATATCACCGGCATGAACGTCACTGCTTTTAGGATAGTTAATTTTATGTGTCTATTTAGCTGGGCCCGGAGTGCACACACACGCAGTCAAACAGCATTCTGGGTGTTTGTGTGACCCTGTTTGTTTGTTTGGGATGATACTAACACATAAATCAGTAGAGGGTAAGTAAAGCAGATTTTCCTCTCTCTTGTGGGTGGGCCGCATCGAAGCAGTTGATGGCATTAACAGAACAAAGACTGATACCCCTTTGCCAAGAGGGAATTCCCCCAGGAGATACTTTTTGCTGTTTTTTTGTTTGCCTGTTTTAATTATAGTTTATTGTCAAGTTGGTTTCCATATAACACCCAGTGCTCATCCCCACAAGCGCCCTCCTCCATGCCCACCACCCCCCTCCCCCCACACCATCAGCCCTCAGTTTGTTCTCAGCATTCAAGAGTCTCTCATGATTCCCTGCAGATTTTGGAGTTAACTGCGTCTGTGATTGCATGAGCCAGTTTCTTAAGATGATTACAAATATATATGTACAGAGATATAGATAATAGATAGATGGAT